GCTACACTGTGTCTCATCATGCCATTAGGTCAAGGTAAAAGCAGCATCTCCATGTTTATTTATTCATCTTTTTATATAAAATACCATTTAATGCTATTCTTTTAAAAATCTGTACGTACACCATAATATATACTTACACACCACACATCACACACGAGCATTTGCAAGGGACAGGAAACCCTCACAAAGTAGTTCTAGAAAAAGTAGAAGGGGGTTCTTTGTCTTATCCTCAAACCTCAACAAGGGCAGGAATCAAGCAGGCCTTGGGGATGGCTGCACCTGTTCCCTCTTTTCTTTCTCCTATAGAAGACATGCTTCTTCATGTGTCAGGGAACAGGGCTGCTGCCAGGTACAGATTCACATTGGAAACACAGAGAAAACTCTTTCCCATGATTCTAACATAAAATTCAAAGAAGGACTCTGACTGGTTAAGCTTTGAGACACTCCTGCCTCTGTGGTGGTGGTGATGGTGGTGGAGGGCGCTGTTTATCAAAGAGGATGGATGCCTGGGTCTTGGACAGACATGGAGTAGCCATGACAGTGTATGACTTGGTAGGCTTCAGGTAGGACCCTGGAATCTATATTTTAAAAAGTTCCATAGGTGACTCTCATGTGCAATCCCAATTGGAATTGATCGATTGGAATTGATCTATCTATACCTTAAATAAATACAGATACAATGTATCAAGGAATGCATTCTAAGACCCAAGGGATCTGAAAGATACTACCTAACCTCTACATTCCATAACTATTTAGGCATCCACTCCACGCTAAGTTTCAAGACATGCAGACAAATAAGATTTGGATCACATTACTGAGGAGCTACTGTTTAGTGAAAGAGACAGATACAAATAAAAAGTGACACCTGGAAATACAGTCTTGGGTACCTTAATGCATCAAGGAAGACGCCTGAAATCACCAGGGAAGTCTTTCCCAAGGAGGGAACATTTGAATTTGATCTGGAGGGATTAAATAGAAGCTTGGTCAGGCCAAGGAAGGGCATTTAGATCATGCCAAGGAAGGGCATTTAGATCATGCCAAGGAAGGGCATTTAGATCATGCCAAGGAAGGGCATTTAGATCATGCCAAGGAAGTGCATTTAGCCTCAAGGGAACAGGATGTTGGAGGATCTGGTGGAGCTTTTGGGTATGCCCCTTTCTCATTAAGTTTCATGAGTTCAAATCCCACCCTTACCACTTACCAGCCATGTGACCTCAGAAGAGGTTACATACTGTTTCTGGTACCTTAATCTTCTCATTTATAAAATGGAATTAGTAACCCATCCTCGTGGGATATTACAAAGATCACATTAGATGACATTATGAAATAGGTTTGCATACTGGGCTTTTGAGTCACACAGACCTCAGTTTGTGTGCCTGCACCATTGCTTGTTTACTGTGGTCCTGGGAAAGTGGTTCTACCCTCTATCTCCTCACCTAAAAAATACAGAAAATAATAGCATACCTCTCAAGGGTGATTATGAAGCTTAAGTAGGAAATAGTGTATGCAAATTATTTGGCTCAAAGCCTGATACATGGTAAGCACTAAATACACATCGTAAATTATTATATAATAATTGTTTTGCAAAGTACTTAGTGAAGTGCTAGGCACAAAGCAGGTGTTCTGTGTCTTCCCATTACAGCCGAGAATGGCCTATGGCTGGAAATCGCTCTTGAAAATCTCACTGGACAGATACCAAGAGGGAATGTGAATGGGGGGTGGGGGGCCCAAATCCACCTTTGTCGAGGTTTCGTGTTGGGCAGGGAGGTTGTCTCCATGCAAGCCAGCTCAGTTTTCTTAGGCAGAGGCCCAGAGTCTAATGAATGGAAAGCTGACATGCCAAGGGGTTGATTCTTGAAGAGAATTAGGCCCATTTGAAGAAAAGACTTCAATCAGCTCACCCATTCCACATGGAGTGACATCCTGGTGTATGTCATAAAATCACTAAATCATGGGATGGTACAGTCTCTCTTTCCTCAAGAATGTCTGAGAAGCAGAAAGGATATTCAGATGGCCATACTCCTGCTGTGCTCCTGAGTAGCCGAGCCTGCTGGGAGTGGGTAAGGATAAGGTCATCAAGAGATCAGAACTTGGCATCTGCACGCCCACAGCCCTGAGCAATGTCTTCTGCTTTCCTGACCTAACCAGGGCCTGGAAAACCCAAGAGCAGGCAATCCATGCCCCTTGAACCAAACGTCATCAGAAGAAGGGTGGTGTTTACAGAGTGCCACCAGTTAGCTAAGCTCTAGCTCTTTTCCAAACACTGAGACACTGAGATGAGCAGGGAAGTGACAGACCCAAGGTCAGAGTCACTTTCCAATGGGGGTCTTATAGGTGCCAATGCCTGGGATGTTCCATAGGCAAATTCCCATGAAGCTCACTGTGGTGGGGAGACCTGATCTGGAATCATCCAGATGCTGGTGCTAAATTTAGCAGCTGTGTGATCTTAGAGGCACCTTCCTTTCTCAGAGCCTCGATCATTCCCATCTGTAAAATGGGACTAGCAATGCCTGTCTCAAAGGATCATGGTGGAGACTCTATTGCAATGAAGGCTGTGAAAATACTATGAAAATGATCAATTCTCTGTACACATGCACAGAACTTGTTTTATTCTGAGAGTTCCCAAGGGGATCTAGAAACCCAGAGAAGGCAGGAGAATGGCAGGTAGGGTGGAGAATTAACTCTTAAAGGTGACCAGGCTGGAAAATCCCCAGGGAGCAGCTGGTCCTTACTGAACATGTATGAAAAGCTTTGCAAAGTCTTGGCACATGGGAATATGAAAGAAATGCAAGACAGGGAGCTGCTAAGACTGCATTTTGTGTCCTTCTAACATGTGCCCTGATTAGCCCCTCTTTGACATCCAGAGTCCTGGACTACACATGCTTGTGTTTCAAACTGAAGCCGCCGACCCACAGTGTGGAGTCTGGTTGGTGAAGCTTCTCCCCACAGCAACACAGCTTAGAGATGGTTGTTTTTGCTTTTGTTTCTTTGCTTTAAACCTATCTGTTCTCTTGAGGCTTTCCTTAAACACACTCCATCTCCTAAGCTGTTCTTTTCCTTTGCTAGGGGTTTGTCATTCTCATCTCTAATTGCCTTTACTCTCTTTCAGTTTTCCAACCAGGTGAGCAGTGCACTATTTAAAAATTGGAAACCTTTCCTTTTGCAGTCAGTTGATAAGAAAGTTCCAAGGCCTCAGGGCACCGAGAGCAGGGAGAGGCAGAGTTCTGGACAACCTCACCCCAGGCAATCCCGCCCTGGGCTGTGGGAGAACTGGGAGAGGAGTGTGGGTTGGGAGGCCCGAAGGGGTGTGGGCATGGCCAAGACATAATTGCCAATCGCTGGCTGGAGGTGGGAGAGTTTAATCTTCTTCAGGAAATCCTCAGGGTGTGAAAAATCAGGCCCGATATTATAAAAACACTGCTGAGAGGTTTTAATGGAAGCGGACACAGTGGGCACATTCTCCAGCTCCAATTTTCTCATTCTGAAACTGACTGAAGAAGTGTGGAAAACACCCAGTGCACATCTAATATCTCTAAATGCGGCTGCCTTTTAGCCTCCGGAGAGGACAGGTATTCATTTTCATAAATTACTTTTTAACCTTTTTTTTTCAAAGTTGGGGGGGAGTGGTGAAAGAAAACAGAGACAAAACAGATGCCTTCAGCCCTTTGATCAGCCTCCCTGCAGACAACCCGGCTGCCCGATAGCACCTCTTAACTACAGCTTGCCAGGAAGAAAATGAGTGGTTTTAACTCCGCAATTACAGTGCCTGCTGAAGGCCTGTCATCGCAGCCAGAGGGACCTGATCCCACCAGTTCGACTGCCCCCAGAATTAGAACCACTGGGTAGAAAGTTAAATACCCCCTGCGGCCAGGAGGCTTCCACAGGCCCTGAAGCTCCAGACCAGCCACCCCCGACTCCCTGCCCCCTACCATGGTCCCCCATCCTTGTCTCTATAAATATAGAAAACTAAGACCATATACGCCAGCTCAGCCAGGCCAGACAGAAGAGAAAGGAACAGGAGACAGCAGCCTTATCTCATGCCCAGGAGTCGGGGAATGTGGCTGAGGCAGAGGTCAGATTTCTAGAAACAGAAGAGGGGAGGCCTACCCCCATCCCCCACCCCACCGACTCTGGCCTCTTGCCTAATCATCTGAGAGCCCTCAGGCTGGCTTTCTGAACAGTGAACATCAAACATCTATTGGCTTATCTCAAGAAGAGAGAGAGGGGAGGGTAATATTGACTCAGGCCTCTATACTCAGGCTTGGCCCCAGGTGGTTTCCGTGGGTCCTCCTGTCCCCTCCAGCTGCTATCTGTAGATATTACTCGACCCTCCATCATGGCCCAGGGCCACACACAGTAGAGCACCCAAGTTCTCTCTGCCGCATCTTCCTTTACTACTTGTAATGTCTACAAACAAGCCTAGCTTTCTTGCCTCTAGGCCTTGGCAGACGCTGTTTCTTCTGCTTGGAGCCCCTTCCTTTGCTGATTTCCCAGAGGACACACCCTGGGGCTGTTCTCCCCTTTCAGAGATCTCTCTGAGAAGTCTTGGGGGAGCCCTTTGCTTTGGCCCCAGCATCCTGTGGCATCACGGTCTTGCCACACACACTGTGCCTGGCACATGGTAGAACCCTGAAAAGAACTGGTTAGATAAATGAGGGACTGTGAAACTTTCAGAAGAGAAAATCCATACTCATAGAAGTTTGATGAGCTGCCCAAAGTCACATGGCTGGGGATGCTAGAAGTGGGGTTAAAACCTGGGTCAGACCGAACACAAAGCCATTTCTTCCCAGAAGGATGCTCTGCCTGTCCGGAGAAGTACAGTGCATGTGCCAGCCAGGGCGTACGGATCCCGCGCTGTGCCCCGACTCTCAGGGCCGGGACTAACCTCGGAAGCAGACTTGAAAGAGGTAACCGAAAAACTTCGTTATCAAAATGGATCATATTTTAACCTGATATTTTGCAATATCAAAGTGAACACGCCCTGCCCCGCGTCACCCGCCCAGTGCCTCTTCTCTGACTGAGGCCCAGCCCCCTTCGCCCGTGCCCGTCACCAGCGATGCCAGCATGTCTGACAAACTGCCCTACAAAGTAGCTGACATCGGCCTGGCTGACTGGGGATGCAAGGCCCTGAACATTGCGGAGAACGAGATGCCGGGCCTGATGCGCTTGCGTGAGAGGTACTCAACTTCCAAGCCGCTTAAGGGCGCCCGCATCGCTGGCTGCCTGCACATGATGGTGGAGACGGCCGTCCTCATTGAGACCCTGGTCGCCCTGGGTGCTGAGGCGCCGTGGTCCAGCTGCAACATATTCTCCACCCAGGACCATGTGGCAGCTGCTATTGCCAAGGCTGGCATTCCAGTGTATGCCTGGAAGGGCGAAACGGATGAGGAGTACCTGTAGTGCATTGAGCAGACGCTGTACTTCAAGGGTGGGCCCCTCAACATGATTCTGGACGACGGAGGTGACCTCACCAACCTCATCCACACCAAGTACCCACAGCTCCTGCTGGGCATCCGAGGCATCTCTGAGGAGACCACAACTGGGGTCCACAACCTCTACAAGATGATGGTCAATGGGATCCTGAAGGTGCCTGCCATCAACGTTAATGACTGTCACCCAGAGCAAGTTTGACAACCTCTATGGCTGTCGGGAGTCCCTCATAGATGGTATCAAGCGAGCCACTGATGTGATGATTGCCGTCAAGGTAGCAGTGGTAGCAGGTTATGGCGATGTGGGCAAGGGCTGTGCCCAGGCCCTGCGGGGTTTCAGGGCCCACGTCATCATCACCAAGACTGACCCCATCAAGGCACTGCAGGCCGCCATGGAGGGCTATGAGGTGACCACCATGGATGAGGCCTGTCAGGAGGGCAATATCTTCGTCACTACCACAGGCTGTGTTGACATCATCCTTGGCCACCACTTTGAGCAAATGAAGGATGATGCCATCGTGTGTAACATTGGACACTTTGATGTGGAGGTCAATGTCAAGTGGCTCAACGGGAATGTTGTGGAGAAGGTGAACATCAAGCCGCAGGTGGAACAGTACTGGCTGAAGAATGGGCGCCACATCATCCTGCTGGCAGAGGGTCGGCTGGTCAATCTGGGTTGTGCCATGGGCCACCCCAGCTTCGTGATGAGTAACTCCTTCACCAACCAGGTGATGGCTCAGATCGAGCTGTGGACTCACCCTGACAAGTACCCTGTTGGGGTTCACTTCCTGCCCAAGAAGCTGGATGAGGCAGTGATTGAAGCCCACCTGGGCAAGCTGAACATGAAGTTGACCAAGCTGAAAGAGAAGCAGGCTCAGTACCTGGGCATGTCCCGTAATGGCCCCTTCAAGTTGGATCACTACCGCTACTGAGAGCCAGGTCTGTGCTTTGCCTTCCAGCTGCTGTCCTTGCCCAGGCCCCACCTCTCCTCCCTAAGAGTAAATGGCACCAACTTTGTGATTGGTTTGTCATTGTCCCCCATGGACTCTCTGGGGCTGGTCACTCAATTTTTGGCCTCTGCTGCAGCCCTCATACTGTTCCAGGTGTGGCAGTGGGAACTGAGAGGGCCCTCCTCAAGCCCTGGTCATGATGGAGGTGCCAGCCATGAGAACCATGAGCTCAGTGGTCTTGGAGCTGCTCACCTTCCTTAGCCTTGAAGTCAGCAGTGGAGTCACAAAGCCCATGTATATTTTGCCATCTAGGCCTTCACCTGGTCTGTGGGCTTAGACCTGTGTGCTTGGTTTACAGGTCCAGTGGTTCCTAAGTGCATGACAGATAGATGAGAGAGAAGTATATTGAAGGGCAAAGAGGAACTGTTGTTTGAATTTTCCTCAGGGCCTGGCTTAGTGCTGGGCCTTCTCTTAAACCTCATAACAATGAGGTTAGTACTTTTGTTTTACAGGGGTTAGAATTAACTGTTAAGAGGCAACTGAGAAAGAACAGAAAAGTGACAGTTGGAGGTTGAAAGGGGCCAGAAAAACATAAAAGCAGGCATAGCTCTGCCACCACTTTGTAACCAGATGGTTTCTATCACAACCCTGCGTCAAAAAGAGACAAATTTGGCCCATAATGTTTATTATATTAAAAGAAAGCAGGAATGTGGGTAAATAAAAATCTTGGTGCCTAAAAAAACAAACAAACAAACAAAGTGAACACAAAACTCCACTCTGAACAAAAAGACCAAATTTTAAAATACAGACAGGATCAGCTTTACTGACCTCCTTTCTTACCTCAGGTTCACATATGACTCAGTGTGACGCTGTTGATTTTAAGTTGCTGATGACCTTAGGCATCCTTTATTGCTCCCTCTCTGGACCTCAGTTTCTCCATCTGTAAAACGTCCAGGCTGGAGGCTCCTGGAGGCTCTTCTGACTGCAGGCTGCTGGTGGTATTTCAGTCCCAGGCCAGCCTGCCTGTGGTTTCCGCCCTTGTGGCTCCAAAGCTGGGGAAGGCCTGTGGATGGTCACTCACTTCCAGACCATGGCTCAGCCTCCTGGAAAGCACCTGGGCTGAGTTTTACAAGTGCCTCCCAAAGAATGCACAGGAAGGAGCTGGGAACTGAGGTCAACTACAGACATGATGTCGTTATGTTTTTGGCTCCAAAGGGATAGGATGTCTCAAGCCTAGTGCTTTCAGCTTTTCATGGCCTCAGTGATGACGGTCCATTGTGAAGTCGCTGATGGCTCTGGTCTCTCCCCCTGGGATGCCAACTCTCGAGAGTCACTTTTCTTCCTTTATGTGACTTTTTCACAGATTTCCCTGGCTCACTCGCAGAAATGCTTTAATTTTAAGAGCAATGAGAGGGACAGCTGGGGAAATGTTTCAGTTATTTGCTTACATTCTTCTGATGTTTGCTCACTGTATGGTAATTAATTCTGAATCTGTCTTCTCTCACAAATTAGTACTAGATATCCATTCCCACCACTCTCTAACTAACTCATTCATTAGTTAATCTGCTTAAATAAATGGTGCTGATACCTGTTGACTGTCCTCCGGGCATAGTGGGCCATGCCAGGCAACCATCCATTTGTCCGTGTAGTCCCAGCATGCATCATGCACCCACCCCATGCCAGGCACTGGGCTAGGTTCTGCGTTTACATCATGAAGCAAACCAGCCACATCTGTATCTTACAGAACTGACAGAAGGCTGGGGAACACAGGCATTAGACTAAAAGTAATCAGCAAATCTGTGGCTACCACTTCTGAGAAGAGCCAGAAAGAAAAGGTGCATGGTGCTCTAAAATCTTAAGACTGGAGGATCCAGCCGGGTCTAGAGGTCTGAGGAAACTTCTTCCAAGAAGTGCCAATGAGAGCAAGATATTTGAAGAACTGGGGTGTGGTGGCTGATGCCTGTAATCCCAGCAATTTGGGAGGCCAAAGCGGGCAGATCACTTGAGGTCAGAAGTTCGAGACCAGCATGGCCAACATGGTGAAGTTCCGTCTCTACTAAAAATGCAAAAACAACTGGGTATGGTGGCATGCACCTGTAATCACAGCTACTCAGGAGGCTAAGGCACAAGAATCGCTTAAACCAGGGAAGCAAGGTTGCAGTGAGCCAAGATCATGCCACTGCATTCCAGCCTGGGCAACAGAGAGACTCTGTCTCCAAAATAATTTAAAAAATATTTGATGAACTAAGGGAAGTAAGGGAGGGAAGTGCATCTAGCACTGAGTATAGCATTTGCAAAATCCCTGAGACAAGGGAGTGATGAGTTTGAGAAACTAGAGCAAGGCTCAGGTGGCTGGAGTATAGACAGCCATGGTCCTCAGTGTGAAATGAAGCTGAAGAGGTATGAATACACAGCATGCAAGGTGTCATAGGCCATATCCAGGAGTTGGATCTTGACATTATCATCCTGACTGAGGTAGTTGCTACTGTTACCGTTGCTAGCACTATTTTTCAGATGAAGAAAATAAGGCCCAGAGAGATTCATTTATTCATCCAGCAAATATTTATTGAGCAACTGCTATGTGCCAGGCATGGTTCTGGGAGCTGGGATATGGCTATGACTGGGACAGGCTATGACTGGGCCTTGTTGCTGCAGAGCTTTGTTTTTGCTTTTTTTTTTTTTTTTTTTCTGAGTCAGAGTCTCGCTCTGTCACCCAGACTGGAGTGCAGTGGCATGATCTTGGCTCACTGCAACCTATGCCTCCTGAGTTCAAGCGATTTTCCTGCCTCAGCCTCCCAAGTAGCCAGGATTACAGGCACACACCACCACGCCTGGCTAATTTTTTGTATTTTAGTAGATATTGTGTTTCACTGTGTTGCCCAGGCTGGTATTGAACTCCTGAGCTCAGGCGTCCCAAAGTGGCAGGATTACAAGCATAAGTCACCGTGCCCGGCCCTGGAGCTTTTATCCATACATGCAGCAGAGGCAGGAAGGAGACCTGGGTCTGCCTGTTTCAAAACCTTAGATGTTTGCCAACCTCATGTCTCATGGTGTCCTGGGCCCAGCACTGGGACGGAACATACTCAGGGTCCTCCTCAAGAGCTTACCATTGGTGTGAGCTGCCATTGTGGTCTGTCCACTGGAACCAGACTCAGTATCCTGCCCCCACCAGGTATTACAGTTGCTTCCTAAATCTCTAAAGAAAAGGCTGAAACTGAGGAAAGTGGCAGAGCAAAGCTCTCTAGCCCTGTAGCTGCTGGGCCAAATTCAGACCCACCTCTTAATCACATTTCCACTTTTGTGGATTAAAAATGGCCACAAATTCTTTACTGATCTTTTCTTCAAGATGGAGACTGCTTCCCTCTCCCTTTTGACTCAGCTGTCCTTGTGACGTGCTTTGACGAATGCAATGAGGCAGCAGGAATGGGCTGCCAGCCTCAGCCTCTGTGCTCTTGGAAGCAGCACCTCAGGCTCACTACTGAATGATGAGTGAGCATGCAGAGAGGGCAGTATGCAATCCTCCACCTTCCGGAATGAGGCCTGGGAGCGAAGCCTTCTCAGACCCTCCAGCCCGGCTCCAGAGCCTGCTGAATCATCTCAGAACAACCAGAAGTCATATCAGCAGAGACACTACCCAAAAAACCCAAGGACTCACGAGAAATAATAGACCATTGGATTTCAAGACACTAAGTGTTAGAGTGGTTTATTGCTCATCAAGAGAGAACTGAAAGCCCATGGGATGTGCCTCAGGAGAAAAGATTGAGGGTGATCTATGATCTGAATAGGCGTTTCTCCAAAGAAGACATACGCAGGGCCAGCAGGTATAAGAAAAAGTGCTCAACATTACTAAAACCCAGAACCTCAATGAGATTATCACCTCATGCCTATCAGAATGACCGCTATGAAAGAAATTAGACCTAAGTGTTGGTAAGGATGTGGAGAAGTTGGTCTGCTGTTCTTAGGAATGTAGAGTGTTGCAGCCACTATGGAAAACAGTATGAAGGTTCCTAAAAAATCTAAAACTAGAACTACCATATGGTTCAGCAATCCCACTTCTTGGTATTTATGTAAAGGAAATGAAATTGGAATCTTGAAGAGATATCTGCACTACTGACAAATAGCCTAAATGCTATTTGGAACGGCCTAAATGCCCATTGACAGATGAATAAATAAATAAAATGTGACATACACAAACAACAGGCTATTATTCGGCCTTAAAAAGGAAGGAAACTCTGCAACATGTGACAACACGGATGATCCTGGATGACATTATGCTGCATGAAATAAGCCAGGCACAGAGGGACAGACACTGCAGGATTCCACTTACAGGAGGAATCAAAAATAGTCAAACTCACAGAACCACAGAGGAGAATCCTGCTGGCCAGGGGCTGCAGTGGGACAGAAAAATGGTGAGTGTTTGTTCAACAGGTATAAAGTTTCGGTCATGCAAAGTGAATAAGGATGCACCACACAACATCGTGTCTGTAGTTAACAATACCGTGCTGTGCACTTAAAACTCTGTTAAGAGGGTGGATCCCATGAAATGTTCTTACCACAATTTAAAAAATAAAATAATGATTTATGGAGAGGAGACATCTACTGTCATCACTCGTATCCATTTCTCTTTCTCCTGTTAACAGACGATCCAGCCTGGTCTGCCCCGTTTTTCCCCAGGATTGCTAGGGGCACCCATTCAGGCCCTGTGGGTCATGTGGGAGGTGAAACTGATCCTCCTGCTCCAGGAGTGGGCAGTTAAACCAGGACTGGCCAGAGCATGGCATCACCCTGGCCACAGGGATTGGTCCAGAGATGGGCACATGACCCAGTCTGAGCCAATCAGAGCTATTCCTGGGACATTTGCTCTACTGATTAGGACAGAAGGTGGCGGGTTCTTTTCTGCTGGATTTTAACCTCAGAAGAGGTGAGTCCGGAGCTGGTGATGGCATCTAACCACCACATGGAGAGAGCCTTTGCAAGAATGGAGCCCATATGAAAGACAGCAGAGCCATATTGTGAGGAATGTTGTGGAGATGTTGTGAGGAATATTGTGGAGATGTCATCTGAAAACCTGGCTTAGCCGTGCCTGAAGCAACTCTAATTCTGGGCTTTTTGCTTGTGCGAGCCTACAAGTCTTTCCCTGTGGCAGCCATGACAATATGCCGCTCAGACCCGCTACAGTGGGAGCGTGGTAGACTGACAGCCCCTCTGCATCCTCCCCTGCGTTTTCCCCCAGGCCATGCTCCACACAGCAACCTTCGGATGCCCCCGGCCAATGCCTGACGCCTGGGGGAACTAGTACTGTCCCATTCCTGTGGGTCCCCTCCACCTGGTGACTTAAACTCTCAGACTCCCTATTGGCCTGGCCAAATGTTATTGGAGACTGCCTGGCAGTCTGAGACTCCTACCCAATGCCCCTTCCTCCCCTCTCCCCTCCACAGGAGAGGGGTCACCCTGGGTCACCCTGTCTCCCTACCTCCTCCAGCTGCCTCCCCCCAATCCTTCACCGGTGAGCCCCCCAACAAATCTTTTGTGTGTCTAATTCTTAAAGGACTTCCAACCCCTTTCTAGTACTTTTTATAGACAGTTTGACTGGGATTTCTGTCACTTTCGATGGAACGATTTCTGATAAGCACAGTTCTCCTAAGGCACTTTGGT